AAAAAAAAAAAAAAGAAAGAAAGAAAGAAAGAAAGAAAGAAAAGAAAAGAAAAGAAATCACCTCTTCAGGGGGATAGCCCCACTGCAATGCCATCTTCTCCATCATCCTCTTGGGATTTGGGGCATGCACACATGCCCAGCATGAGTTTCAAGCCACCGGGGCTGGGACTCCAATCATGGTTGACTATGTGGAGATCCAGCGCCTTAACCACTCTGCCACCTGCTGCTCCCTGAATCTGCAATTCTAAACAGTGGCCAAGGAAGGCTTGGTTGAGGTCACATTTGAGCAAAAGAACTCGTAGAGATGAAAGAAAGTTATTAAGATAGATCTCTGGGCACAGAGCATCCTGAGCAAAATGAACATTAAGTGGGTGGGAAGCACTGAAGAGGAGAAGCTCCTTCTGTATATGGAAAACTAACTTGTTTGCATGCCAAGGTGGGAAATGATGATCCTGGGGAAAGAGAGAATCATTGCAGTGACGTCCTGGAGCAGGTGCGAGCAGGTTGAATCTGGAGCAGGAGTGGTGAGGTGTTCCTGAGCTAAGGTTGCAAATAGCATAACATGCTAGCGGGAGCTAGGGAGGCCACAGAGGCCAACTACAGGTGTTTGGGAAGAGTGGTGACAGAAGTTTGTGTAAGTGCTCTTTAATTACTTCTATTTTCTCTGTGGGAAGAAGAAACAAAGCTGTAAGATATTAATAATGACAGAGGAGGCATCAGAGCTCAGTGCCAAAGTAAAATAAAAATGTGAAATAGCCATTTAGGAAAAGGGGGGAGGGGGGTAGATGGATTAGACAAACGAGTGGGAATACCAAGCATAATTACAATGGTCCTTTGGAATGATTTGTCATTCAAGTAGCCATTGTGAGTAGGTGTTTTTCTCTAGTCATACCCAGTTTCATGGGTACAGAGGCAAAATAATGGAGCATTGAAACTAACCAAGAGTGTCATTCCATTTGACTTATATGATAATGTTAAGGACAAGAGAGCTGAGGGTGTGTGTGACGGTGCTTATCAAGATGGAGCATGAAATTTACCCGGTAAGGATGAAAATGAAGACATGAAGAAGACGAGGGAGCAAGAGGTGGTGGTCAGGTCAATGGCTGCCGATGCTGAGAGAGAGAGAGAGAGAGAGAGAATGGGAGTTAGGGTATCTGGGTGAAATAGGACAGAACTGGAAGTTGAAGAGTCGGACAGCTGAAATTATGGAGGGGGTGCAGCTATGGGGACAGATTTCCGAGTCTGGATATGGGTGGATGTGTAGAGTAGGGAGGACATGATCAACAGCAGAGAAGTCCAGGCTGGAAGGCCGGGTGTTTAAAAATACCTTTGCTGCAAATGCTGAAACCCCTGAGGACTGCCGCAGGGATGACTGCGGAGAAGGTAGCCCTAGCCTGGAGCCAGATGCTGAAACCTACAAAGCATGAGGGGAGAAGGTAGATGCTGGGAGATGAACACAGAAAGTAGTGAGAAACGGCCTGTTCTGATAAGATGTGCTGTAAGGGTGAGAGGATCAAATCCTCTGCGATTTCATTTCCTCGATTTACTACAATCTGGATTCTTCTCCCATTATACAGTTGAGAATAGCTTGAAAGGATGACAGTTTATCTTTGAGAGAATGGAAATGTATATGTGAAAAAGCAAGTGTGGGGACCAGCAGACGGTGTCATGGTACATGGCTGGATGCCCACATAGTCAACTGCAGTTTAGGTTCCACACCTGGTGGCTTAGAACTCACACCAGATTGCTGAGCATGTGTGCCTGTGTGTCCAAAGTCCTGAGGGAAGAATAGAGGAGAAGGGATTGTGGTGTGGCCATCCTCCTGAGGGATGATTTCTCACTTTCTGTCTCTCTGTCTTCTCTCTCCAGCGAGCGCATGCACCCTACAGCAAAAATCTCTCTTAAAAACAAACAAAAAACTCACTCACTCCAAGTGTATACAGAAAATCCTGATAAAAGAATGGAGGACAAGGGATTGTGGCATGACCATCCCTCCTGGGGATGATTTCTTACTTTCTAAAGTGAGAATCTCTCTCTAAAAAAAAAGTGAGTATGATAAGTGATATGATCAAAGTTGCTATTTTTAGCAACTTGGTTAGAGTTCATGAAAACTAATGAAAAATAAGAAACTTGCCTGGTCTTTGGCACACCACCATTTTCAGCTAGTAAGGGGAGGAGCTGAGACTTGAGCAAGGGGAACAGATGAAGGGAGGCAGTATTCCAGAATGTTTGTGTACAGAGGCTGTGCATTCTGAGTGACACCGGTTTGCTGGGCCAAAGGCTCAAGTCCCTCACAGTGAAGCTTCACTGAATAGAAAATAGTTTTCCATCATAAGCATTTTTTTAAAAAAAATTATTTTTATTTAACTTTATTTATTTATTTGCTTATTTTAGAGGGACAGAGTGAGAGAGAGAGAGTGAGAGAGAGAGTGAGAGAGAGAGTGAGAGAGAGGGAAAGTGGGAGAACAAGCCACCAGGTCAAGGACTCGAACCATGGTCGGGCATGTGGGAGTCCAGTACCCTTAACCACCATGCCACCTGCTGGCCCCCATAAGCATCTTTACTCCACATGAATCACAGTTATTCAGGGAAGAGAAAATAGCTGATGTATATACTGAAATATCTGCTACAATATTTTTTTAACCATCTCCCTATTCCCCTTTCTACAGCATTGGATATTTGGAATTACTCCACTCTCCATACAACTCATTTCAACTCCAGGATTAGAAACAACTGCCTTGTGTTTCCACCAATCCATAAATCTGGGGTTCTTGTCTTAGGGGCTACAAAACTCCAAAGTTCCATAGCTAGAACTATGTTTAAATATAATTGGCTTTCATTATAATCCTATGTGCTTTATTTTAGTCATTTAAAAAATAGTTCTGGGAGGGCTGACAGGTGATGTGGTGATTAAGGGCACTGGACTCCCACATGGCCTATCATGGTTCGAGTCCTGGACCCGGCAGCTTGCTTTCTTACTTTCTCTGTCTCTCTCTTTCTCTCTCACTCTTGTTCTGTTCCTCTCTGGTCAAATTAAAATAAATAAGGTTAAATAAAATAATTTAAAAAAATAGTTCTGGGGAGGGACTCATAAATTTGACCAGCCAGGCATGTTATGTTAGTTATGTTAAAGGGCATGTGTGCTTCATCAGCAAAAGAGAGAGAGAGGGAGGGATCTGGTGATCAGCACGTGGTTCCTCTGTTTCCATTCTGATTTTCCTTTTATTTCTTCTAAATGTTCTCTCCTGGTGGCTCAACTCCTGTTATTTTAGATACTTTCCCATCCATTCCCTTTTTCAAAAACCTCTTAGCTTTCTATAAGTCTAGCCTCATAATCAACAAATTATCTATATCCCCACCCATTTCCTGAACATTCCCATACTTCTGGCCTTCACTAAACTTCATCTGTTCCATGCCCACGTCTTTCCCAGTTGGAAACAAAACGAAACAAACAAACAAAATAAACTGTCCTTCCCTCCCTGACTAGTTTTCTATTGCTGCTATAACTTGGTATCTTGTGGGCCAAAGCAACGTAAGTTTATGGTTTTACAATTCTGGAGGTCAGAAGTCCAAAATGAATCTCCAAGTTAAAGCCACCTCGCTGGTGGACTGGCCTCCAAAAGCTCTAGGGAACAGTCGGATTCTCTCCACTTCAGCTTCCAGAACGGCCAGGTTCCCAGTCTCATAGCAGCAACTCTGTCTGTGGTCTCTGCTTCCACCTTCATCTTCTCACCTTCTCCCACTCTGACCTACTGCTCCCCTCCTGCCAGGCCCCTGCAATTACATTAAGCCCACCTGCATAGCCTGGGTATAAGCCCCATCTCTCGAGATCCTTAATTACATCCACAAGGTCCCTTTGCCAGAGAAGATACTCGAACATCCGGGGATCAGTATATATTAATAGACATCCCTGGGGGAACATTGCCTAGCCTACCACACTCCATTTCTCCCATCCTTGAATTCTTTCTTTTTTTGAGAGAGAGAGATTTTAGCTATACGGTGCATGTGCTCTCTGGAGAGACAGACAGAGACAGAAAGTGAGAAATTGCCCTCCCCCCATGGGGGGTGGCCAAGCCACAATCTCTTCTCCGTTCTCTTCTTGGGATTTTGGGCTCTCGGGATTTCGGGCTCACACACATGTATGCCCTGTGTGAGTTTCAAACTGATGGGTCTGGGACTCAAACAGTGGTGGCTATGTAAGAGTCCAGTACCTTAATCAGTATGCCACCCGCTGGTCCCCAACCTTTAATTTGTTTTTTAAAGAATTGTTTAACTTTATTATTATTTTCCAGTTTGATTTGAGAAAAAGAAAGAGAGGAAAAGTGAGAAAACAAACCACTAGGTCCAGGACTTGAATCATGGTTGGCCATGAGAGTCCAAGGCCTTTAACCACCACACCACCTGCCGGCCCCTCAACCTTCAATTCCTAACTTCTGAATTTGTCCTTCCCCATATTTCGTGTTTCAGTACGCGACATCCCCCGCTCATTTCTAATTCTGGGGCTTTCGATCCTTTCTTTTCCTCACCATCAACTTTAAGAAAAAGAAACCAAATCCAGCACAGGAGCCAGTCCTGCTCACCCCACCTTCAGATCTTCCTTAACTGTACCCTTCAGCAAGCCGGCAAATCTCGGGGACAGCAAAAGCCTCCTTGCTGGTCTCCCCCATTCACTTCTGCCCTACTCTCGTCTAGTTTCCGTACTGTAGACCGAATTTTGTTCAATGCAATCTCATTTAAGCCACTTTTTAAGTTTTCCGGAGGCGCGGTCTATCTCAGTTCAGTCCAAGGAAACTGGTCCTCCCAATTCCTGCACGCCGCCCTCGCCGCCGGCCACCCTCCTGGAGCGCAGAGAGCTGGCACCTCTGCAGCTGACCTGCGGGCTCGGGAGAAGCGGAACCGCAGGCTGTGGAAGCCGAGCGCCGCCGCGCGGTCCGCAGCCGGGGCCCGGAGCGCCGAGCGCAGCGCGGAGCTGCAGCACTGTCAGATTTCGATCCTGTTCCTAGGTCCCCAAGGAGGGCTCTGGGAGCAAAATCGATGGGAACCATGCAGGTGGGGCGTAGACGAGACCTCGCCCACTAGGAGGAAGCTGCGGTCAAAAGCTTTTCATCCCGGAACCCCGCAGTCCTCCCCAGACGCGGGCGCAGAGCCCAGCGATTGGTCTCTTCTCCAGGCTCTTGTTGCCCTTGCCTTCCTTCGCGATCACACCTGCTTTCAGACGTGCTGGGGGAGGATGGGGCCCTCTTCTCCCAGGGGCTCCGAGCCTGGCCGGCCGGCGGCGCCCCCTCTCCCCTTCGGCTGCGGAGGAGCCCTCGCGGTGGTTCTGGTGCTGCTCGCGCTGCCGGCACTCTGGGGTGAGACGCTGGGCTGGTGGGAGGCGACCGGGCGGTCAGCCGCAGGGGCGCTGCAGGGACGCGCTCCTCGGCGCTGCTCCGGGCGCTGTTGCTGGAGCTGGATCCTAAAGTGTGGCTCTAAATGGGCTTAGCGCGCTAGGGCAGGGTGGGTCTGGGAATGCCCCCTCCCCGCAAGTGACCGCAGACCCTCGTCACCTCTGGGTGAGAGTCGAGTTCCCACCTGTGGGGACTGCTGTGCCCAGAGCAGGGCGCAGGTGCTGCACTGGTGCGTCACCAAGTCCCTTGCCTGTGTGTATTCGGCCTGGACTGGCTGTAGCTGAGCATGGCGCTGATAGAGAAAGAAAAAGGGTTTGGAAATCCGACAAACCGGGATTCTAATGCTAGAAACTTAACTGGGGCGGGGAGGGGGGGAGTTAATGCACCTGTCTGAGTCTGCTTCATCTGCGAAACGAGGGTACAGTGGTATCTCTATACAAGGTGTTGCCACCTCAGTGGCTTACCGCGTGCCAAGTGTCTAACGCAGTGTCTGTCCTTAATGCCTATACTCGGCCAGTATTTCTGCCCTTGGCTCTGTAAAGCGTCCTAAGGATGATTGCGAAAACCAGCCCGCATCAGACTGCACGCACCTCCCCACCCAAAACCACCGCCACCGTCGTAAACATGCACTTAACTGAGCGCCTATTTTAAGACAGATACTATGGCGCCTCTTGGGAGCTAGAAGGGGAAGCGGGTCTCCAGAAGGTGCAGTGTAACTAGCTGCAGGTAGAGAGGACAGTAGATATGTTTCCAAATCACGATCTAGTGACTGGGTTGGTAGAAGAAAAAGCCTATTATAGCTACTGGGGAAATGTCAAAATCACACCCTCCCTTCCTTCCTCTTAATTCCAAATAGGTAAATATCTGGCCGGAACCTTGTTCTCATTCTTTTTGGCCTCCCCAGAGATCTTCTAGGTGGTTGTCCCTCATTGGTGACATCTCAGTTGAAGTGACAATCTTTTTTTTTTTTTTCTTTTTCTTTTTTGGTCTAGTCTCTTCCTGGCAACACAGTGTGCTTTTTCTCTACCACTACACTAGTCAACACCTGATTGTTCCTCTTCTTCTAAAAGAGTGAGGAAAAAACAAGTTTCCACAAAAGTCATGAATATTTTCTCTCTTTAGGTATCCACAAAGTAGCCTGCTGGGTAAAGAGCTGTACTAAAACGTTTGTTTTTAGACGAGAAGCATGCCAGCTAAGTCGGACCATCTGTGGGCAATTCTTAGACATGACTGTGGTCCCTGTGAATATCCAGCCAGCTCCTCACTGGAATGCGGTTAGAGTTGGTCCAGGTTTATTAAGTTATGGTTAGAAACAATCCCAGATGCTATTAATTGCAAAAGCAATATTTACTGAGGTTATCACAATAACCTCCAAATGTGAAACTGCTTAAACCATCTAGTAATTGACTTGCCCGTCATTTAAAGAAAATGCTGACAGAGTGTCTCCAGCGTGCACTGCACTTTCCAATTTAGACGAAAGACGTGTCAGAGAGCTACGCCTACACAGTGTACGTACGTCGTGCAGGTGGTGGCTTTTATAAAATCTCCTTAGCAGAGACCAGGATTCTGTTTTGTTACAGCCACTGTAATGACCTATCTTGGGGGGAGGGGGAGTCTTAGACCCAGGAAGCCAATTAACTTTCCTAACTTTCAGGGTCTACTATATAAAATGAACATAAATGGCACCCCTCTATCTGAGAGAATTGTGAAAATTCGATGAGGTAGTGCATGTGACAGTACTCTATGGCTGTGCAAATCAAGAAACCGTGATGGAACCAGCAGGTGGAGTAGGGGTTAAGGTGCCGGACTCCCAAGTCCCAGAACCGGCAACTTGAAACTCAGACCAGGTGCATGTGCGTGCATACCCAAAATCCCGAGAGGAGAATGGAGGAGAAAGGATTGCAGCGTGGCCACCCCCCAGGGGTGATTTCTTGCTTTCTATCTCTCTGTCTCTCCAGTGAGCACACATGCCCTGTAGCAAGAATCTCTTAAAAGAAAAAAAAACAAAACACCATGACCATAAAAACACACAAGAAAGCCTAAAAGCTGCTAGATAACTGAAAAAGGAGAAAAATCAGCTCCAATGACTAGAAGAGGCCAAGGAGAAGGAGCATGGCTTTAACAGTTCTCAAATACTGAATTCAAAAACAGGCTGTACAAGATAATTTATGGGTATATTTATTTTTATATTAAAATAGCAGAGAAATTAGGATTGTTTCATTATTATGAGGAACTAGCACTACCCATGAAGTGATGTTATTTGAAAATGGACTTGAATTAGTCATAAATTTATATAGCAAATCCCAGGGCAGTCACTGAAGAAAGGAGGGAAAGGTATAACTAATTTGTAATAAATGAGAGAAAATGGAGTCGTATAAAATGCTCAGTTAAAATCACAAAAGGCAGGAAAAGAGTGAGACAAACTATTGGGTTGTCAGGAAAGTCATGACACATGTTTGCATAGAAAATTACGTCATGACTTTCCCGACAACCTAATAGAAATAAAGAGCAATAAATAGAAAAAAAGTAAAAATTATGGGAGCTATCCATCCAGTGATATCAATAATCCCTTTGTATGTCAATGGCTTAACTATTAAAACACAGAGATCGTCAGAGTGGCTCAAGACACAAGACTCAATTATATGTTGTCTACAAAAAAAAATTAAGAAAACAAAAAAAACAAACACTTTAAATATAAAAACACATATACATTGCAAATAAATGCATAGAGAAAGATACACCATGCTAGCATGGATCAAAAGAAAGCAGGGGCCAGAAGATGGCATGGTGGTTGGGGCATCGGACTCCCACATGGCTGACCATAGTTGGAGTCCCGGATCCATCGACTTGAAAATCAGTCTGGGCACAAGTGTGAGCATGCCCAAACTCTGCGAGGAGACTGGAGAAGGGATTGCAGTTGTGGCCATTCCCACTGGGGGATGATTTCTCACTTTCTCTGTCTCTCTCTCTGGTGAGTGCACATGCCCTATGGCAAAACACACACACACACACACAAGCTAAAAAAAGGAAAAGAAAGAAAGAGAGAGAGAGAAAGGAAGGAAGGAAGCAAGCAGGGGGTTCTATATTAATTTCAGACAAATACATCAGGACGAGGACGGTAATTCAGGGATAAAGAGAGGTTTGCATAATGATAAAGGGGTCGATTCTCTGAGAAGACGAAACCATCCCGACTGCGTTTGCACCTGAAGACGGGGCATCAGAATAGAGAAGGTAAAAACGGATCCATCTAAAAGTGGAAATAGAGAATCCACGATCACAGTTGGAGACTCAGACACTCCTGTCAGAAATGCACAAATTGTAGCAGGCACATCCGTCAAGACATAGTTAAATTCTTCAGGACCATCAGTCGGCTGAATATAATTGATATGTATAGATTGTTTTATACAATACAGGAGGATATACACTCTTTTCTACACATTCTTTCCAGGCTCACCGGGAACATTCTGTAAGAGACCACATTTGGGGGCATAGAACGTAACACACTAAGCATGCCCAGGCCTGTTTAATATAATGTGGACTCTGGCGCCCTCACCTGGCCCTCTCTGGGATCATGTCCTGTTACCTGCTGTGTAAGGTAGAAAGGTTTCTAATTTGCTTTCTGTGTTTTGAAATATATTTCAATTTATATATGCCCAGATGAGTGGATTTGGGTTTATATTACTAGTTTTATCTAAAATAAACTTCACATCTGGACAAATAACTTTAGACATGTTTTACCAAAAATACTGGGTGAAGATAATCCTAATTAGGCTAACCCTAATAAAAAGAAGAGAGAGCTGACAAACCACTCCACCCCGAAGATGGGAGTGTGATTGGAAATACTTGTCTTTCTGGTGGTGATAGTTTCATGGTGTATGCACATATCAAAAATCATCCACTGTATACTTGAAATACTTACAAATTATTATATGCAAGATATCCTAATTCTAAAAAGTTCTTTAAAAACCTATGGTAGGTCTTGAGTTTACAAAGTTTATATCAACCTTTTTATTGTAGGAACTAGCCATAATTTGAAGGGTTGGTAATAAAAGAGAAAAAGGAAACTCAACCGAGATGTTTCTGTTGCTTTTTATTTGGGCTGTTATCCAAAAAAAAACTCTTATTTTTCTAGTACAGATGCTGTTCATATACTGCAATTCATATACTGCAAATTTTAGATAATGAAAGGAAAGCAATGTCATTCTCAAGATAGTCCATTCAATCTGATTTATTTTTCTATAATCTCTTTCTGTCCTCTCCTGTGAGCTTCTCTATTATATTTGGCCTCTTCTGTCACCAGACCAACTGCAGTTCTGGCCTGGTGACCAAACTCAAGTTTGGCTAGTTGTGTCTCAAAAGCCAACAATATCTGAGAGACAATTGTTGGTGGAAATGCAAAGCAGTTTTATTCAGGAAACCAATGACCTGGGAAGAGGGAAAACTAATGTTCGAAAACCGTCTCCGAAAATACAGACCAGGATGAAGGATTTTTAAGGGGAGATAAGAGAAGTGAGAAGGGAATGAGAAAGGGGACTATGTGCTCTTCTGCACAGCAATCATTTTCTTAGCCACATGGAGACCTGTTGGCACCCAAGTTGCCGTTCACAGTGTGGTCATCTTGCCCTCAAGGTCAGCACGCTCCTCAGCAGAGCTGTGATTAGCTTTTGTAAGTTAAACAATGAAGCAAGATCAGATAACAAAAGAAGCAAACCCTCCTTAAAGGCTAGTCCATTGTGCCACTCCAAGCATGGACTTACTCTGGTTCTCTCTCATAGCTTGGCTATATTTCTTGTAAAACTTCTGGCACTGGGACCCACAGGTGGCATGGTGGTTAGGGCACTGGATTCCCACATGGCTGAGGGCCATGGACCTGGCGGCTTACTTTCTGACTTTCCCTCTCTTTCTCTCTCTCTCTTTCTCTCTCTGTGATGATTATAGCAAGTTAAAAAGTAACAATAATAATA